CCCGAGAGGCCCTCCCCGCAAGCGAAGTCGGCGGAGAGGGAGAGGAGCGCGTGGCCATGCAGGCGGACCTCGCGCGCGGCCCACATGCCTTGCCCAGCAGCTGGCTGAGACCACTCCGCTCGTCGCAGTCGGATGGCCCTGGAGCTCAGGTGTGCGCCGACGGCGACCCAAGCACCTCCGCGACCGAGCTCCCCATGCACCTGGGTCTCGTGGGCGGGCCTGGCCTCAACCTTCCAGTGCGCCTTGCTGAGCTTCTTGATCGCTGCATGCAACAGTGGCCCTCGTAGGTGAGTCTCTGCGCCAAGTTGAACATGATACCCTTCATCATCCCGAGTCTTATTCACGTAGTCGAGCCCAGTCTGGTCCCACTTGGTGTAGTTGGCGAAGTAGAGACGTACTGAGTGAAGGTCATGCTTGTGATACCGCTTCATCTTGTCACGGCTGGCCTTCGCATGCTCCTGGGGCGCCTGAGCGTAGGGCTTCACCTCCAAGGCCTCAGACGGGCAGACTGCGCCAGGAAGAGGAGCGGCAGGCTGCTGCCCCTCGGCCTCGTCAGTGGCGATGGGCGCGGTGTCGGGCTCTGGGTCGCCATCGTAGCCAGCTGTCGCGAAAGCGTCGACGTCGAAATCCAGCTGGTCGAAAAGGTCATAGTCCCCGTCCATGCTGGTCTTTCTGTGGCTGCTGTTGTCCGTGTTCAGCTAAGAGCCCTTCTGCTTCTCGTCATCCGTGCCCACTCGCCCGCGCTGAGTGTTATCGGCTGTCGTAGAAGGAGTTGTCGCTGACCGAGCCCCTGGGATGGACTGCGCTGCCGCGTCGGTGCCTTCTCCAATCCCCGTAGCGCATGAGTTGTGACATAGAGGGTAGAGGCCCCAAAGACGTGTGACAGTTCTCCTTCCACTACGGTCCTCGCCAGTACTTGTGCCGCCCCTGCCTGAGCCATCACTCTCGGCCAGCCTCGAAGGTGCAAGGCCGGGGCCCAGAGCATTGAAGTCCCCTGCCGACGAGGGTCTGGCGAACATGGCTGACTCAGGCAGGTCGGCGCGGGCCCCCGCCGAATCGGAGCGTCCTCTGGGCGAAGTAGACGATGGGGCCACCGAGGGAGAGAGGGTCCACACCTGTGATGACTCTGCCGATGACCCAGTCGACAAAGATGCTGAGGGAGACGGAGTTGCCGTGGACCCAATCGACAAAGAAGGCCCACCTGTCGTCGTCATCTGCGTCGCTCGTGTCTCCAGCCCAGGGGAATGCACGTCCCTGGCCAGCTGGAGAGGGGCACTGGCAGCTGCTCCCCACCGTCGCCGCCGATGAGCTGCTGCTGGTTGAAGTTGTTCTGGTGCTTCGTTCCCCAGCTGGTCTTCTGGTTCTGGTGGCTGGGCTTGATCATGTGGTCGATCGTGTCGATCCCCTGGACACTGCACATCATTGGCATCAGCTTGGAAATAGTGGCACGTGGGGCGCTCCGCGAAACGCGCCCGAGCTGTGCCCTGGGCAAGCCCTGGGCTACCCTCGCGTCTGGCTGGCGCCCCCTTTGCTGGCACCCTTGCCCGCCAGCACCGCGGCGGCGCGCTCCTTTGGCTGTCTGGGCGGGCTGCTGAGGGGCGCCTACCTCACTGCCTGGGGCAGCGCTGCCAGGGGCGCCACCTCCAGAGCTGGCGGCGCCAGCAGCGGCGGGCTCAGTTGCAGCGCCGCCACCGTTGCCCCCAGGAGGAGGGGCAGACTCCGCCCTAGGCCGCTTGGTCTTGAGGCGCCTCTTCTGCTCCTCGTGGGCTCTGCGGGTGGCATCGCACGTCTATTTGGCCGATTTGAAGAGCTCTGCGGCGGCAGCCTGCGTGGCGGTCTTGGGCTCCTCCTTGCGCTTGGCGATCTCGGCTTCGTCCTCGGTGCCCAGCTCGTACTCCTCGCCAAGGTCGAACATGTCCCCGCAGTCAATGAGGTCGTCGGCGCTGAGCTTGCCCTCGAGCAGGGACTGCAAGTCGAGCTTGGAGGGGTTGGCTTCCTTGGGGCCGAACTTAGTCTGGTATTCTTCCTCAAGGACTGTCTTGTACTCAAGTTCCGCGGCCTCGAGGTCACCCAACAGCTTGCGAACGAGCTCAGCTTGGTCAGTAGTCTGCTGCTGAAGCTTGGCCAGGAGGTCCGTGGCGTTAGTGAGCTTCCTCTCAGTCGCCGAGGCCTTGCGCTGGGCGGCGGCGGCACGCTGGCGGACGGGGCGGACCACGCCGCCTTGGCCAGCTCCGCCGCGTACCTGTTGGCTGTGGCTGTGTCTCCCATCTGGGTGGCCACGTCCACCAGCTTCTGGAGGTCAGCTGCCGAGACCTGCGCCGCCGCGGCGCCTGCGCCCCGCCCGCGGCTGGCCGAGCAAGTCCACCTGTTGGCGCCGCCCCCAGCTCCTGCGTCACTTGTCCACGGAGCTGGCGCTGGTTCTTCAGTGCGTTCTTTGCGGCAGTGCTTACACCAGGTCCAGTGCATGAGGTTCTGCCCGCATCCACAAAGGCTGCACTTCCACCGATCACCAAAGCGCCCATGGGACATGTGCCGCGGGTAGACAGAGGCTGAAAAGACTGCGGAGGGTCGAGAGGCGCGCTCCCCTGAGCGCTTAGTACCTTGGCCGCGGCAGCCAGGCCTAAGGAAGGGGCTGCCCTTCCACCGCGACCTCGAGCCTCTGGAGTCGGGACCCACGGGAGGTTAGCTCCGTGAGACTTGAGCCAAAATGGCTACGGCGCCGCCGCCTCCTCCTCCCTCCTCCCTCCTCCCTCCTCCCTCCTCCCTCCTCCCTCCTCCCTACCTCCTCCCTTCTCCCTCCTTCCTCCTCCTCCTCCCTCCTCCGCCTCCTCCTCCTCCCTCTCCCTCATTCATCATCCTCCTCCCTCTTCCCTCCCCAATCCTCCCTCCCCCCTCCTCCCTCATCATTCCTCCCTCCACCTCTTCCCTCCCTCCCTCCCTCCCTCCCTCCCTCCCTCCTCCCACCTCGCCGGTGCAGGAAAAGAACAGGCTCCTGGGAAAGTTATAAAAGAAACGCGATGCGCTGAACGCTATCCGCGGGGTAGATGCAAGGCAACGCCGACACATGGAAGTGAAGGGGGAAGTACATCGACAACGAACAAAGAGGAACACATGCAGGGAAGGAGGAGGGCAGCAATGTTGTACTTGAATCTGCGCAATACACTGCTCGGTTTAATCCCTCAGGAACTCTCGAAGGTGGCGACTGTTGCACATCACGCGGCACTCGGGGAGGCGAAGTCCCACTTGGACCCGCGTGAGATATATCTCTGTTGGAACTGCCAGGGGGCTCACGAAAGTGCAGCCGGTTGCGCAGTTGCTCTGCGAGGGCACCGCTGAAGGAGGGTTGAGGAAAACGTCATTTATATATATATATATGTGTGTGTGTACGAGTCGCAGAGACCGAGCCGGCGAAGGCCCAAGTGTCGAAATAGAATTATCCAGGCGAGGGACCCAACCATGTGCAGTTGTGAGTGACGCAGTTGTGGGCATCGACCTCGGTGAACCTCTCTGGGGTCACGACGCGTGTGACGGGGTGTACCAAAATTGGCACGGGTACGCCATGCGGACGCTGCCACAAGAGCCGTCGGTGGAGCACCCTATGGGGCCGCGGAAGGTGCAAGGATTGGGGTGGAACTGCATGCGGATCCTGCCACTTGGGGCCTTCGGTGGAGCACCCTATATGGGGCCACGAAACGTGTGAGGGGTGCGCCGACATGGGGGTGGAACTGCATGCGGACCCTGCCGCTGGGGCCTTCGGCGGAGCACCCTATAGGGGCCACGAAACGTGAGGGGTGCGCCGAAATGGGGGTGGAACTGCATGCGGACCCTGCCACAGGGGGCCTTCGGCGGGGCCCCCTATAGGGGCCACGAAACGTGTGAAGGGTGCGCCGAAATGGGGGTGGAACTGCATGCGGACCCTGCCACTGGGGCCTTCGGCGGAGCACCCCACAGGGGCCACGAAACGTGTGAGGGGTGCGCCGAAATGGGGGTGGAACTGCATGCGGACCCTGCCACTGGGGCCTTCGGTGGAGCACCCTATATGGAGCCACGAAACGTGTGAGGGGTGCGCCGAAATGGGGGTGGAACTGCATGCGGACCCTGCCACTGGGGCCTTCGGCGGAGCACCCTATAGGGGCCACGAAATGTGCGAGGGGTGCGCCGAAATGGGGGTGGAACTGCATGCGGACCCTGCCACTGGGGCCTTCGGTGGAGCACCCTATAGGGGCCACGAAACGTGAGGGGTGCGCCGAAATGGGGGTGGAACTGCATGCGGACCCTGCCACAGGGGGCCTTCGGCGGGGCACCCTATATGGGGCCACGAAACGTGTGAGGGGTGCGCCGACATGGGGGTGGAACTGCATGCGGACCCTGCCGCTGGGGCCTTCGGCGGAGCACCCTATAGGGGCCACGAAACGCTGTACTCGGTGGGTGAAACGCAGGGAGGAGGCGAGGGCGTCCAAGAGGGGGGTGTCCAAGAGGGGGGTGTACAAATCATGGCCCGAAGCATGTGCGCGGACCAGGGGCCAGGAACGTGACAAAATAAGAAGAGGTGCCATGAAATCTGGGGAGACATCATGGCCCCCGCCATAATATCCACCCCCCTAGTCATCACCCCCCTCTTGGCCGCCCCCGAAATGGATCCGGGGAGGTGCCCTGCCCAAAATGCGCCTGGTGCCGCCTCGCTCGGCGGCGGGCATCGGCGGTTTCCCATGGAAACGGGACCCGTCGCTAATCCACGCCCCCATTGATCCACGTTTGCAATCGCCTGACTTGTTCCTCGAGCGGCCTCCAGGCAGCGAGCATCAGCAACTTCAGGTTCCCTGAGGTCGAACCTTCGGTGGCAACTCGTGGGCGCCTATCCCATAACATCTGGTCGGCTCTTGCGAATGTCGACGCGAACTCGACGCCCAGTCGACGCCCAGTCGACGCTAACTCTACTCCCAGTTGCGATCACCTGGCCAGAGGCGAGCGCCCGCCCCCCCCCCCTCACGGGGCGGCGCCTCGTCGTCAACTATCACCTCGGGCTTCCCCTCGTGGGGGTCGGGCAGCGGCGTGCCGTAGGGAGGCCGGTCGTCTTCCGCCTTGTCCTCCGCGGCCGCCTGCAGGGGGGGGGGGGGGGCTGTCAGAGGAGGAAGACAGAGGAAGCAAAAACGCTCCCTCCCTGGCGGGCGGAGCGCGCCAGGGGCGACGCCGGAGGCCCCGCCAGGGGGGTCCCAGCGCGGATCCAAGAAGTCCGCGCGGAGCGCCAATAGTCTTATGGTTATGGGGACTTTCTTCTTCGGGAAGCTACCCTTCGCCCGTTTTCCCCTTTCTCGCCCCCCTGTCAGGTTCTCGTCGCCGCCATCCGATTCGCCTCGAGATTCTGGTCAGAACGCACCATGGGAGGAGGTCCGAGGAGCAGCGGTATCGGTACCGTTTGATTTCCCCAGACTGGGGAGAAGAGGGCGGGAGGGAGACTGGGGAGGAGTGCGCGGAATCTCCTCCTCCTCCACCTCCTCCTCCTCCTCCTTCTTCTCCTCCTCCTCCTCCTCCTCCTCCTCCTCCTCCTCCTCCTCCTCCTCCTCCTCCTGTAGTCATGCGACATGCGACATGCCACGACAACAACGCACACCTGCACCAGTTAAACTCGAGGGGCACAGGGAAACAAACAACGACATGAGCATATAAACTCGGAGGTCCGCGCGAATTTCTCGATCGGCGATTGACTCTCCTCCCTGGCGCGCGGAGCGCGCCAGTGGCGGCGTCGGAGGCGCCGCCGGGAGACTCCAGCGCCGATCCGACAAATCTGCGCGGACCTCCGACTTTGTATGTTTATCTCATTGTTTGTTCCGCTAGGGCAGCATCAGGGGGCGGACAGCTCTCCTCGCCACCGCGCGGAGGTCCATTCCCTGCGCATTTTTCTATATCCCGCGTGTTGTTTCGCAAGGTGATCGAAGATGCTCCTCGATGGTTCTCGCCGAGAAGAAGTGCACACGTCCGAGCGATGCCAAGTCCACAGCGAGTTACCATCGCCCCTGGCACTGGCAACCTGCCCGCCAGGCAGCGGCCCGGAGAGGGAGAGCCTGCTGGGTCCACCGCGCGGGCAGGTGGCCGGCCACCTGTGCAGCGAGTCTCCCCTCCAAAGCTTCCCTCGAGCTCGCCGCCGAGGCCAGGGGGTAGCGAATCCAGCCGTTGCGACGAGGGGCGTGTAGAGTTAGGTCGGGCATGTCCTCCTACAGGCGGACATTGGAAGTGGAAGGACAAATTATAAAGTAGTCAAAAGCAAGAAACAATCAAAAGAGCACGAGAGATCGTCACCAGACAATGTGTTTCACTAACTCGAACATTCCCCCTCTAGAACGACATGCCCGACTTAGCCTGGAGAGCCCAGAATCGAATCTACAAGTCGGATCGGCGATCGACATGAATCGGAACGACGGAAATCGGCAGCCGAGTCGGGAAAAGACGAATCGGCAGACATGGGCAGGCTTGAAGGCCTTCATTGAGAAATCGGATCCCAAATCGGATTCCGATACCGAATCGAATTGGAATCGGAAACCGTCGAAATCGAATCGAATCGAGTCGGAGGAATCGAATCGAGCCCTCCTTAACCGGAGCGACGATGGGCGCTTAGAGGCTGCCGTTTGGCTAGTCGCCCAGGTGGCCGCGCAGGCGGCGTCGCCCACGCGGATCGGAGCTGCAGGCGAGTGGCCGCGCGCAGGCGAGGGCGCCATGGTCGCATTGTCTCGTTCGCCCGCCGTGGCCTTCTTCCTCCTCCTCCTCGTCCTCGTCCTCCCCCTCCTCCTCCTCGTCCTCGTCCTCCTCCTCCTCCTCCTCCTCCTCCTCCTCCTCCTCCCTCCTCCCTCCTCCCTCCTCCTCCTCCCTCGTTCCGCCTCCCTGCTCCCTGCTCCCTCCTCCTCCTCCTCCTTCTCCTCCGCCTCCGCCTCGCCTCCCCTCCCCCCCCCCTCCCCTCCCCTCCTCCTCCTCCCTCCTCCCTCCCTCCTCCTCCCCCTCCGCTTCCTCCTCCTCCTCCTCGTCTTCCTCCTCGTCTTCCTCGTCTTCCTCATCGTCTTCCTCTCGTCCTCCCTCTCTCCTCCTCCTCTCTCTTCTCCCCCCTCCCCTCCGTCCCTTCACCCTCCCCCCACCTCCCTCTCCCCCTCCCCCTTCCCCTCCCCCTCCCCCTCCCCCTCCTCCTCCTCCTCCTCCTCCTCCTCCTCCTTCTATTCCTCTTGCTCCTCCTCCTCCTCCTCTCCTCCTCCTCCTCTCCACCTCTCCTCCTCCTTCTCCCTCCCTCCTCCCTCTTCTCCTCCTCGTCTTCTTCCTCCTCCTCGTCTTCCTCTTCGTCTTCCTCCACCTCCTCTCCTCCTCGTCTTCCTCCTCGTTTTCCTCCTCGTCCACCTCCTCCTCCCCCTCCTCCTCCTTCTCCTCTCCTCCTCCTCCCTCCTCCACCTCCTCCCCTTCTCCTCCTCCCCCCCTTCCTCCTCCTCCGCCTCCTCCTCCTCCTCCTCTCCTCCTCCTCCGCCTTCGCCCGCCTCCGCCTCCGCCTCCGCCTCCCCTCCCCCCCTCTCCTCCTCCTCCTCCTCCTCCTCCTCCTCCTTCTCCCCCCTCCTCCGCCTCCGCCTCCGCCTCCCCCTCCCCCTCCTCCTCCTCCTCTTCCTCCTCCTCCTGCAGCAGTGCCACTGGCGCTGGTCTCCTCGCTTCGAAGGTTGTCGGCATGTAGCGGAAGACTGCTCGCAAAATCCGTGTCGCCTTTCGATGTCGAGGAGCTCGAGATCGGGCTGGACGGGTTCGCTTGTGTCCGAATGAGTGGAGGTGCAGGGTTGAACGTGGGGGTCTGGACGCTGATGAGGATAGATGAGAATGGGGGATGAGAATGGGAAGGCGGACGAGGACGACGACTGGGACGGAGATTGGGCCGAGGGAACAGAGCATCAAGCTGAGGATGAGGATGAGAGGGGGCCCGAGAAAAAGGAAGATAGCATCCTGCTTGTCCTCCCCGCTCTCCGCCTCCGGCTGCGGCGCCGGCGCTGGCGCTGGCGCTGGCGCCGGCGCTGTTGCTGGCGCCGCCGGCTCCTGCGGCGGAGCCAGGAAGCCTCACCCGTAGCCTGCCGACTGCCCTCCCTCGCCTCTCACAGGATCAAAGACATCCGGCACAACGGTGGCACCGCGAGGAGCCAGAGGGGTGGGCAGTCCATCGAAGTCCTCAGATCCAGCGCCGTGAGAAAAAACACACGGGCTGGTCTCGCTCCGCGTGCTCAGTCTCCTAAGAAGCTCGTCTCGGGCCGGGCGAAAGGTGGGATAGCAAAGGGGGGGGGTTCGAGAATCAGCTCGCGTCGCTGATTTTCCCGGCGCCTCCCGGCGCCGGGAGGCGCCCATGCATCGAGGAATGGGCCCGGCGGCGGGGACAAAACCAGCTGCATGCAGCAGATTTCGTAACCCCCCCTTTCCCAATGCCCCCCTTTCGTACGGCCCGACTTTCCCAGTTTGCGCCAAATGTCCGAACCTAAAACGCCAAAGCCTACCAGGCGCGCTCTCTCTCTCTCTCTCTCTCTCCACCTCTGGAGCGCTGGGCGTCGGGTTTGCTCGCCGCCTGGACTGGATTTGGCTACCAATCCACTTCCACCCTCGTGCACGGCGTGCCTGTCTGGGGCGGCGCTCTTGCCAGGCTGTCCCTATCCCCCCCTTTCGTTCAGCCCGATCGTCTGGGGCCCCAGGGCCGCGATGAGCTGGCACGGGATAGAAAGACGGGCCTCCGGGGAGGGGCCGAGGGAGTCCCTGGGGCAGGCGGGCCCGGAAGCGAACCGACATTGTTGGGGCCCAGGGATACACAAATAGATGCTCACGAATAACAGGATGCCCCGTATTTTCCCGGGTTTTTTGTCTTCCCCCCCACTTCGCATATGTTCCCATATGTTCGGGGGAATCGACGATTAACTGTGTCTGTGTGTTTCTTTCCCTCCTGCGACAAGTCGGATCGGAAGCCGACGTGAATCAGATCGGCGAAAATCGGCAGCCGAGTCGGAAAAAGTCGAATCGGCGGGGATCGGCAGGCTGGTGTGCGTCCAACCAGAAATCGGAACACAAATCGGAATCCAGAGCCGAATCGGATCGAAACCGAAATCAATCGAAATCGAATCGAATCGAATCGGAGGAATCGAAACGAGCCCTGCTGGGGCTCACGCCGTGAAACAACACGCCGTCGCATCTTCGGGGAGCGCGTCGGCCACCAAGTGCTAAAACGCCCCGACCCCAACCCGCCACGACCGTGCACTCGACGACGACAACGACGACGACGACGACGACGAGGACGACGGCTGGGGTGGCGGCGGCGACCCAAAGTGGCCCCCAAACCGCTAGCAGCGGTCAACACGGATCGACCAACCGATCACGGGACGGGGAAGGGCAACAAACACCCGCGCAGAACGGCGCAGTAGACGCCACCGCTCCGTCACACCACGACGCGAATCGCGGCTCGACGACCAGATCGAGATCGACCGAGCGGAGGCCAACACCCCACTGCAGCACGGCAAACCACCGCTTCCCACCCAAAACCTAAGAAGAGCCAGGCTCATGAACCCGGCTGCCTCCGCCGATATGCGGAGCTACAGCAGCTTGGGATTTAGACTCGCGGTTCCCCACCGTTCTTGAGGCGTCGGCCACCGACCGACTCCAATTCCCTTACAGTGGAGGCTAGTCCACAAGAAACCTTCCACACGAAAACCAAGTCTGAGACCCCAGGCCGTCCATTGACTTGTGGCGTGGGGACGCCACGCTTTCCATAGCAAGACCATCGAAACCCATGAAACCCAGGGCACCCTGGAGGCAAGCAGGGTGGTTCTTGGCCTGGGTTCCGGCTGTAGGGCAGCGCGCCACTTCATGTGCATCACTTCTGCGTCTTCAGCGGGGAACGATGCAGACATCGCGCCAGGTCAGTCCCTGCGGCGTGCGCTGCCCCACGAGGGATCCCATATGCACAGGCGTCAGGTACTGGATGTTGCTCCACACTGCCATCTCCGACCTGACCCAGACTGCAGGCAGCTAGGGTTACTACCTACGTTTCCCTCGGCATTTGGGTCGGCGATACACTACCTCGGTGTAGCACAACTCGCGCATTTCGAATCGACCCTCTACGGCGACAGCGACAGTTTCACACCAACCCAAGTTCCACGATTGGGCTGTCCTTCCGTACGACCAATGGCGATCGAGGGTCTACACTTGTGACTTTCAATAAACAGTTGGTAGGCGCTTCTAATGACCGGCAGCAGCGGCAGACACTAGGCGGAACCATGGGACAACATGAAACGGCGCGATGTCCCCCATCCAGCACCAACATGACCTGCCTACCAGCTGCCGCGACCCGTATCTGTTATCCAACGCAACCTTTACTTCCGGCAACGGGGCAAGTATTCCCTCCGAGCAGCGGCGAATGGGAGCGGGGTCGGAATTTCGATGCTACTATGCTGGGCAAACAAAGATCCCGACTCCATCTGAGCCCCGAGAACGCTTAGCCACGCTGCCTAAACGAAGGGGAGCAAGAGGTGAGCGGAGGTGGTGGGCGGGGAACCCAGGGAAAACGCCAATGTGGGCGCGGGCCACCCTGGGCATAGCCCAGGGCGGCCGCGGACCACTTCGGCGGCGACCACAACACAAAAGAGCCATGCAGCGGCGGCTTCCTGTCTCCCCTTGTTGAGGGGCAGAGCCCATGTTCGAACCACCCAGGTCGTCAGTATAGCCTGTCCCAGCTCCTTGCCTGCTTCCCTCCCACCTCCCATACCGCTTTGCCGCCACAGCGCCACGCCACCGGTCACATGTCATGCCGCGCTTCCGCTGCCGCTGCTGCCCCAAACCCCTGAACCCTAAACCCTAAACCCAAAAAACTCAAAGCCTGTTAAAACATTTAAACCCAAAGATCCTTTACGGACATCCATTATGCCGCCCCTTCGGCGCCCCCCCTTTCCTGGGTTAAGAATGCGGTTGCGCCCATGCGGCCAGAACCCCTTTGCACAAAATACGGTTTCCCACGCACGCGGCTCGAATCCCTCGGAACAAAATACCGCGCGGAACACATCGGCACCTCCCAATTCGCGCGATTTCTATCTAAACATCATCCCGAGCACGCCTGCGCGCGTTTGTGCCGCAGGCGCTCCCAGGCGATCGCCCGGCGCTTCCTAGGCGCCCTCAGGCGCAGCCGAAGCGCCCCTCGTAAGGTTTCCAAGCGCGCGCTCCCAGCGTTCCTGCGCGCCCCCCAGGAGGCCCCAAGCGCCGCCAAACGCGAACCAGACGCGCTCCCGAGCGCTCCCCAGACTCTGCCGAGGCGCTGCCCGAGCGCTCCTAGGCGTCCCCAAGGGTTCCCTGAGGCCCTTCGATGGATGCAGGCGCGCCTAAGCGCCCCCCAGGCGCCCCCGCCGCTCAACACACGGCGCGCGGGCGCACGCGCACGGCTCCCGCGCAGGGCACGGGCGCGACCTCGACCCCTGCGGGTCAAGAACCGCGCCCGTGCTTTCCCCAATGGCCCCCTGGGTTTCCGCGCGATTATGGCCGTTTTGTCGCGCCGGCACCCCGCGGCGCAATCAAGCTCCGTGGGCTCGAGAGTCACCCGACGCGGGGCCCGCCCTCGCTCGGCCACGGACTCCGCCGCGCCACCAGCAGTGTCGGCTGCCCCGAAAGCCGCCGGGCACTTGCGACTCATGGTGGCGTGAACCAGCGAGCAGCCCGCCCAGAGCCCAAGCGGGGTGGGGGGGCGGGGGCGAAACCTCTCATAGCCCCCCAGCAGCGCGCGAAGCCGCGCAGCACATCGGCAATGCGTCGGCAACCTGCTGCGGGGAGCTACCCATTGGTCGTTTCGATCCCATGCCGCATCGCCGCTGCATCGGGTCGAGGCGCTGCGTAAGTACTGCGCATGATGAATCACACTGACGTCCTCGACGCGTTGAATTATACATATAATGGGTCATGGGTGGGTGGGGTACGCCCAACGGGCTTCGAATAGAGGCTAGTGCACCTTAAATCCCAAACACCCTTTATTATCACATATTAATTTACATGGTAAGCCCAAAAAGGCTCCCCTCGGTTCCCGCCCTGTCGGGGTTGACTCCTAAACCCCCATTCCATGCGTGCCCGCACGCGGATCTTGCCCCTCCTGCGTGGCGGCAAATCCCCAAGCCCCCTATCCCATGCGTGCCCGCTCGAGGATCGCGCCCCTCCGCGCTGGGGGGGCTAACTCCTAAACCCCCAGTCCATGCGTGCCCGCACACAGAATCTGTCCATCCAGCATGGCGGCGAATTCCTAAACCCCCAATCCCGCGCGTGCCCGCTCGAAGATCGCGCCCCTCCCGCTCAAGGAACGCGCCCTCCCGCATGGCGGCTAATCCTCACCCCCCTTCTCCCATGCGTGACCGCTCGGGGATCGCGCCCCTCCGCACTGGGGGGCTGATTCCGAAACCCCCATTCCATGCGTCCCCGTACACGGATTCTGCCCCTCCCGCGCGGCGGCAAATTCGTACCCCCCCCTATCCCATGAGTGCCCGCTCGAGGATCGCGCCCCTCCCGCTCAAAGATCGTGCCCCTCCCGCTCAAGGATCGCGCCCCTCCCGCGCGGCGGCTAATTCCTAACCCGCTCCTTCCATGCGTGCCCGCTGGAGGATCGTGCCCCTGCCGCTCGAGGATCGTGCCCGATCCCGCGTGGCGGCTAATTCCTGAACCCCCATCCCACGCGTGCCCGCTCGAGGATCGTGCCTCTCCCGTTCGGGAATACCCCCCTCCAGACGCTCCGAAACGATGTCGCGCGCTCCTCCCGAGGGCCGCCGCGCGCTCCTGTGTTGTTCCTACAGCCTGCTGTTCTTCCCGCGTGTTCCGCGCTGTTCCTTCCTGCTCCTCGCTGCTCCACGCGGCCTTCCTCGATGGCCTGCATGCGCCAGAGCATGCGTCTTGATATGTAATGGGTTTCCAGGGTGGGTGGGATGCGCACCGCGCCAGTGTGTGACACGTCCAGTATGTTGACATCTTCGCGCTTTTGTTGACCCTAAACCCTAAACCCTACTCCCTTAATACCTTCAAGATTTCCTCGAGGCGCGACACCCCGGGGTGCCCCCCTCCTTCCTCCTCGGGTGGGCGGGGCCCGCACTCGGGCCATCCACTGATGTTACGGCCACCCTCGAGGGCACGGCGGATGGATCCGACTCGTTGCTCTTGTGTTTCCACCCCTCCTCCACCTCATCGTTCTCCTTCTTGTCCTAATCCTTGTCCTCCTCCTCTCCTCCTCTTCCTCCGCCTCCCTCCTCCTCTGTCTAGTCCTCCCCCACATCCCTCAAACCAGCCCTCCCAGACAAGTCCTGGAACGTTTTCTGGCAAGGATGTCCAATCGAATCCAGCAGTAGTAACGACGACCACCGCAAGATGCCCCAGACGGCCCTCCCACACCTCGCTTCTAGACTCCCTGAGTCACCAGGGCGAAAGGCCGACAGACCGACTCGGAACCTGAGCCGCTAAGCACGCGACCGCTTTGCCACACTCCATTGACAAGAAAGTGGTCGTCCTCCTGCACCCCCCTCTTCCTCCTCCTCCTCCTCCTCCTTCTCCTCCCAGTCCTCCTCTTCCTCCTTCTCCTCCTCCTCCTCATCAGCACCAGCATCAGCGTCAGCATCAGCATCAGCATCAGCATCATCGACATGATCAGCATCATCATCATCGTCATCATCATCAGCAGCATCATCAGCATCATCATCATCATCACCATCAGCATCATCATCATCATTATCATCATCAGCAGAAGCATTAACACCAGCATTAACATCCGCATCATCATCACCAGCATCATCAGCATCACCATCATCATCATCATCATCAGCATCAGCATCCTCATCATCGTCATCATCATCAGCATCAGCATCATCATCAGCATCATCATCAGCATCATTACCACCCATCCTCATCCTCATCCTCATCCTCATCCTCATCATCATCATCATCATCATCATCATCATCATCATCATCATCATCATCAGCATCAGCATCAGCATCAGCATCAGCATCATCATCATCATCATCATCATCATCATCATCATCATCCTGCGCACTCCTACTCCAAGTCCTCCAACCTTCATCCTACTGCATCCCTCCACCTCCTCCTCCTCCTCCTGCTACTCCTCCTCCTCCTCTAACTCTTCCTCTTCCCCATCCTCCTCGGCCTCACTCCCCCTACTCCAAGATCCTCCCTTCACCACCAACTCCTACGCATCTTCCGCCTCATCATCAGCAGCACCAGCACCAGCGTCGTCGTCAGCATCATCCTCATCATCATCATCATCAGCATCATCATCAACATCATTATCGTAATCATCATCAGCAGCATCATCATCGTCATCATCGTCATCATCATCAGCATCATCATCGTCGTCGTCATCATAATCATCATCATCATCATCATCGCCATCAGCATCATCAGCATCATCCTCATCGTCATCATCATGATCATCGTCGGCATCATTATCATCGGCATCGGCATCGGCATCATCATCCTCATCCTCATGATCAGCATCATCAGCAGCATCAGCAACATCAGCAGCATCAGCATCATCACCAGCATCATCAACGGCATCGGCATCATCATCATCATCCTCATCATCATCATAATATTCATCATCACCATCATCAGCATCATCACCATGATCAGCAGCATGACCAGCATCATCAGGAGCATCATCATCATCATCATCATCATCATCACCCGCATCATAATCATCATCATCAGCATCATCACCATTATCATTCACATCATTGTCATCATCGTCGTCATCATCAGAATAATCCGCATGACCAGCAGCAGTAACATCGTAATCATGATAGTCGTCGTAGGCGCCGGCGGCGTCGTCGGCTTCGCCGTCATCAGCAACATCATCATCATCATCATCATCATTATCATCATCGGCAGCATCGTCACCATCATCAGCAACATCATCATCGGCGTCATCATCATCACAAGCATGACATTTCTTCGTCATGATCATCAGCAGCAGGATGATTATCATCGTAAGCAACGTCGTCGTAGTCGCCATCGTCGTCGTCTCCATCGTCAGCATCAGTCTCACAATCATCACTATCATCAGCATCAGCATCAGCATCACCATCATCATCAGCAGCAGCGCCATCAGCAGCATCAGCATAATCATCAGTAGCATTATCAGCATCATCAGCAGCATAAGACTCATCATCATCAACAGCATCAGTGTCATCAATAAGAACATCGTTGTCACCATCATCATCATAAGCATCATCATCATCGTCGTCACCCTCATTAGCCTCATCATCATCATCATCATCATCATCATCCTGATCCTCATCCTCATCCTCATTCGCATCCTCATCCTCCTCGGCCTCAGCCTCATCCTGATCCTCATCCTCATCTCGTATCCTATCCCTTGCCGTTTAACTTCTCTCTTCTGTCACCCTCCCCTCTCTCGCTTCCGCCCCCCTGGTCGTCGTCCTCCTCCTCCTCCTCCTTTTCCTCCTTCTCGATCCCCCGAAATGCCTGCTGGAGCCGCGCGAGGAGGTCCGCCTTCCTGCCCTTCACATCCAGGCCGCGCTCTCTGCAGAGCGCTTTGAGCTCCGCGACCTTCATGGTTGTCAGGTCCACAGCCCGCCTGCCCGCGCGCACGACGGAGGAGGAGGAGGAGGAGCAGGAGGAGGAGGAGGGGATGAGCAGGCGCGAGGAGGATGGAGGAGTAGGATGGAGGAGGGATCGAGGAGGAGGAACAGGAGAATGAGCAGACTCCGTCGTCGTGGACGTCGACACAGACATGAACAGAGACGTCATCATCATCATCATCATCATCCTCCTCCTCATCATCATCATCATCATCAACATCATCATCATCATCATCATCATCATCATCATCATCAGCAGCAGCAGCATCATCATCATCATCATCGTCGTGCTCCTCTTCATCTTGCTCCTGGTCCTCGTTGTCCTCCTCCCTTTTCTCCTCCTCCTCCTCCTCGACCCTCCCTCCATCATCTCCTCTTCCTCGTCCTCATTCTCCTCGCATTCCCTCCTCCTTCCCCCCGCCGATCCATCATCCTGTTTCCCACATCCTCCTCAACGACGCCAACGGAAACAAAAGGTGGGGCCGAGCACTGAGAATGATCACTACGGGAGGTGCGGCTAGTGCAGAGCAGTGAATACTTAGGAATTGTGCTCTCACTACTCTCACTGTCTTACCCTATCCCAGCCCGGTCCTCCCTCCCTCTTTCGGCCCAGCACCACCCAACCCCATCTGGCATCTCTGCCAGCATACAGCCGCACACAATCAACAAACAAACAAAAAGCATCCGCCTCCTAGTACATCCGTTTCCCTTCCTCCGACATCGTCTTTTGAATATGACCCTAGACCTCGCGATTCAAAATCCAGTCTGAAGATAGAGTGCCACCTCCCTGGCAGTCTCGGAGGGATCGATGGGGCACCCCAGGGGGGGAGGGGGGGCGAGAGGTACGAGCTCGTCAACGAAAATCTGGCTCAAACTACTGCGGAAGGTGCTGCATCCCCCCAGGTTTGAGCAGGGACCGACCGTCCCGGCTATTCTTGTCGCCCTACAACAAAATGTTCTTAGAACCCCAAAATGTTCTAAGAACGAAAACAATTTTCTTCGACCATAAACCCGATGTGTTGAAACAAAACAATCTCAACCAGAAGTGTTCTAAGAACATGTCGTGTAAACCACAAATGGTTCTTAGGACATCGTTCGGTAGGGTAGGCGAGCCAAGACGCCTCGCCACTGCTTGACAGGGGCCGCACAGGAGTCAGGCCCGTGGCCTTTGTGGGCCCCGGAAACGGCAGGGCCATTTTTTCACCGTTTCCCCCAAAAAAACGATTCCTTGAAAATGGAAACGGCAAAAAAACGCGACCGGAGACGGCAAACAATTGGCTCCAGGATTGGAACCGGAGCCGGAGCCAGTCCAAAAACGGCGACGGAACCGGTAAAACCACGGCGTCGGAACCGGCCACAAAAACGGCAAAACGGGACCGGTAAAAAAAACGGCCCTGTCCGTGGCCGGTGCCGCGCTCCTCGCCGCCGCCGCCCGCGCAGCCCGCCGGGCGAGGGCCCCTCGCCGGAGCCTCCCGGGGGCCCAGGCGGTTGCCGCTGCTGTCCTCCGAGGGCGTGCTCGCCCGGCCGAGGGCCGAGGCGGCGCCTCGGCGGCGCTGCCGAGGCGCCCGCCGGCGCTGCCGAGGCGCACCCGCTTCCGCTCCTGCAGAGGACCCCGCCGCCCTGGCGGACCCCCTGCGGGCCGCTCGCCGCGCTCGCCGCGCTGGGAAGAGAAGAGGCAAGCGCGCGTTCCACGACTCGCAAAGGCACTGATTGCCTTTGAGTCGGGCCCGTCCCCCTACAGGCCGATTTTGGACGAAGAATTTAAAAGACCCCCAAAGTACTCTAAAGATGCTCAAAGATGGGCAAAAAATAGTTCCCATACGGTTGTTTGACTATTTTTGAACATCCCCCCTGTAGACGGACAGGCCCGACTTAACACTACCCGCACATGGCCTGGATCCGCCGCGAGGGATCTACGATAAACTACATCGGAGCAGACACGTGTTGTTCGGACGCTTGCGACTAGGCAAAAAACGAGACGCCGCGAGGCCAAGCGGGCAGCCTCCAGGAGCCTGCACGTCCCTGCCGGCTCGGTCGACGGCGAGCCTCGTGCTGCTGCTTCGGCCTCTGGTGCTGCGGCCGGCCAGAGCGCGGAGCCGCGGGGCGACTCTGCAGAGCGGCCCGCCCAGGCACCACCAGGTCTCTCTGCTGGGGAAACTAAGAACGACATAAACGTAAAAACTCGGAGGTCCGCGCGGACCTCCGAGTTGTTATGTTTATGACATGATTCGTTTCCCTATCTGCTGGCGATGCTCCACCTGGCGCACTGGCAAAAAGCCCACTCGTTCGGCAAAAGCTGGTCGATGGGAGCCGCTCCGATGTGAGCCGCTCCTCGGCGCGGCCTGCCGGCACTCTGAGAGAACCTTCCAGCCGAAGAACGCTCAGCAGGGCCGAGGGCTACAACTGGGTCGGGCGTGCCCCCCTACCACCATATCTTGTGAGGAATAATAAGAAAGAATCGGAAACTACTCAACAATAGTCAAAAAAAACTCAGAAAATCGTCCCCATATTATTTGTTGACTATTTTTGAATTCTTCTGTTGAGGGACAGGCCCGACTTAAGGCTACGACACCACTTTTGCCACCGACGCAGTCGCGGCAGGGAAGGGCCGCGCGGGGCCATGTACATTCACTTCCGGCAGCAAATCTAAGCGGCGTGGAAAAGGTCCGCCTGCCCCTTCTGCGCGCTAGTGCATCTTACGCTCTCTGGTCTTTCAGGTTGGTGGCTAATACTGGGGCAGTTCCGCCCATCATTTGGTTGGCTTGTACTCCAAGTGGCATTCGCGGATCATCGCCTGAGGGGTGTCTTGTTCCATCCTCTACGCCTTCACATGCGACCCATGAGCCTTCCTTGGGCCGCGTTTGCTGCACCAGGCCTCAAGCAGCCTAACTTGCTTGTTTTCAGGAGGACAGGCAACCCCCGTTCACACCAGCACACGCATCTCAGGGGCCCTCGGAGCCCCCCAATCCCCCACCCCGTGGCCGCCAAAATACACAAAAGGGCTTCAGGCTCCAGAGGGCTCCAGCACGCCAGAGAGGCCGCAAGACGACCCAAGAAGACCGAACTGGGACTCCAGAGGACTCCCGAAGAGGGCCGCACGAGCCAATAAACACTGATTTCATTACAGGTGTTCGAATCATGTTCGCGTTCTCTATTTTCTAGCTCCCGAGGGATCCCGAACGGACCGAGAGGCCTCCCAGACTGGCCCAAGAGGCTCCCAAGATTGCCCAGAGACTGCCCAAGAGGGCCCCTAAGCCTACCCAAGAGGCCCCCAAGAAGCCCCCAAAGGCCTCAAGGGACCCCAGGAGGGGTCAAATAAGAGGAACTCGCAGGAACACCGGGAGCCCTCCCCCAGAAGATACCGTCCTCGTCAAATCGTGGCTCTCGCCATAGCGAGGCACGCAGTTGTCTTAAAAGCCCACAGGAATGTCAAGGATTCGTAAGGTTGAATTCCCTGGAATAACGCCCTCGTACGATGTAGGATTGTCAGGACGCAAAAGTCACGCTGATTCGCGGTGATGAAGTCTCAGGGATGGTGTTCTGGCACGGTTTCTAGGAAAGTCAGGATGCAACAGTCTCGTTGATTCGCGTCGCTGGAGTCCCAGAAAGAGTGTCCTGGCACGGTTCAGGATTGGCAGGACGCAACAATCACGTTGATTCGCGGCGTTGAAGTCCCTGAAACGGTGTTGCTTTCTCTGTCGAGGAGTCTCAAACGGTTATCTTTCCGTGGGCGACTTCCCGCAATGACAATAACTAATGGCATGGACCTGTGAGGACGGATCTGGGATAGAGGCTAAATGTGCAACATCGTTGGTGCGTCTTGAGTGTACACTGATCCTCCTTTTCCTCCTCCGTCTCCTCCTCCTTCCCTCATACTCCACCTACTCTTCCTCCTCCATCCTTCCCCCTCCTTCTCATTCTCAGCAACATCATTACCACCACGACCACCACCACCGTGATCATCTTCAGCATCAGCATCATCGTCAGCATCATCATCAGCATAATCAGCAGCAGCATCATCGTAATCGTCGTCGTCATCATCATAATCATCATCATCATCATCATCATCATCATCATCATCATCATCATCATCATATCATCATCATCATCATCATCATCATCATCATCATCATCATCATCATCATCATCATCATCATCATAGTCGTCATCATCGGCAACCACACCATCGAGAACATCATCATAAGAATCAGCATCAGCATCATCACCATCATCATCGGCATCATCCTTGAAAGCAGCACTATCAACGTTATCATCATCATGATCAGCATCACCATCCTCCTCGTCGTAATAATCGCCGTGGCAAGAAACGCTACAACCACCACCACTCCCATCATCGTAGTCACGAGCATACTCATAGCATCATCGTAATCGTCACCATGAGCATCATAAGCATCGTCATCGTGATCATCACTATCACAATCATCCCGATCGTTGTTTCTAGTGACCCGAACCTCATCCTCGTCATCGCCATCATAATCAAGACCATCATGCCAACCATCATCAACGACAGCAACAGTCCTCAACCACATCAACCTCAACATCAACATCACAGCCACCATCACCATTTTTAGTATCACCATCACAGGCGTGATCAAAAGCATAGCATCACCATCACCACCACCATCACCACCATCGTCATCAGCACCCTCGTCATACCATCAACCTCACCATCACCATCTTCAACATCAACATCACCATTATCATCCATATCCCCCTCCTCACACCCTGTCCTCCTCCTCAATCCTCATTCACCCCCTCCTGCTCCCACCCCATCCGTCCTCCCTCCTCCCGCCGCCGCCGCCCTCGTCATCGCTGCCGTCGCGGCCGCCTCAACACCAGGCTGCTGCCAGGCCGGGCAACGGAACCAGCGCGACCCGCGACCAGGCCGGCGAACGCGGCGGGCCCGCCGCGCACCACGCCCAGGAGCGCCGCGAGCGCCGCACTGGCGATCACGGCCAGGGCGGTCCTGTGTCTTCTCTTCTGCTTTTGCCTACTACTTTGACCCTGTCTGGTTTGGGCTCGGACACGGACAGAGCCCGTGCTGTTCCAACTGGCGGGCTGCCCCAAAGAGCAGGCACAGACAGAGAGCAGAGGGCAAGGCAACGACTGCAGGCTGCGAGGGTGGATGGGCCGGCAGGGCGTGTTCAACATCATCACCCACACGCAACGACTGCACGAGGGAATGGGGGAGAGAGGAGGAGGAGGAGGAAGAAAACAAAGAGCAAGAGGAGCTTAGCTTGAGGAATGGTGAAGATCTGCTCGGGCTGGCCAAATCCCCTAGGATCCCTCCGGGGCAGGTCCGGAGGCCGTCTTGGCGCCCCCTGATGAATTATGGCAGTCCAACACTCGCCAGTCGCCAGAGGTCCCTGAGGCCCCCAAGACGTCGAGAAAGATAGAGAGAGAGAGACAGAAAGAGACAAAGAGAGAAAACAAAAGAAAGAACCATACCAAAAACGATTCGGGCGGCTGCCCGCATGGGCGCTGGGCGGCAGGCGGCTCGCGCCCCCAGCTCTTGGGGCTGGGGAGAGCGACTGCGTACCCCAATCCCTCGGTTCCCACCCGCTTCTTATGCGCGCGTAGCCTTCAAGTACGATGGCACACACACACACACACAAAAGCAAACACGCACACACAAACACCCACCCACCCACACACACACAGACAAACACACACAAACCACTAATAAGGGAGCCCTGGTATCGAACACGCGCCTAATCAAGCCACCCACTGAGGCAACGTCCAACGACACCATACGGTCGAAGACTGAATAATCAATGAACAATGAACGCGCGCTCAAGACTACTGGACGACCGCCGGTGCTGGGCAAGCGAACGAGGGCACATGCCAAGGTTGAAGTTCCAGAGAAGCCTCGAGAGGCTCAAGCGACTGGATCGACGTGCGCTCGGCCTGAGCGTTGCGCCGCTTCGGAGACATCGCCTGCTCGAACTACAAGCGGTGTGTCGAGACGGAGCCCGCGCAAATCATAGCCGTGCCGAATGCTGACGTGACCACGGCATCGACGCATGAAATTTTCCGGGTGAAGACGGATAGCCTGCTCAGCGGTCTGCTTGCTGGCGCCGCGTGGTAGCGTCCTCTGGCCGACCGCGAGCCACTCTCCTGCGTTGATCTTCAAGACTCGAGTGGAAGGCCTCGGGTCTTGGCGCTGGTGCGCGGGCGGGGCAGCATCGTTGACCAACTTCTTGGCTTTCCCGAGCAGGTTCTTGTAAGTCGTCGTGCCGATGCGTGCTTCCGCGCGGCGCTTCATGGCCGCGCGATCGAAGATCGTCAGATGCTGGAAGCACAAATGGTACCATTTCCACGTCCGCTTCTCCGGCGTCAGGAAAGGTTGGCTGGATGTCGCAGCGGCCGACCGGGGTTCCTTCCTCGACAGGACGCGCTACGCACGGTCCAACGTCGCGATGGATGCTGGGAGAGGCGGTAACTGGCTGAGGAAGGCTGGTTTGCAGTCGGGAAGGCCGTCGGGTACGGCGTCGGGTGCGGCGTCGGATGCAGCGTCTGGTTCGGTGTCGGGAACGGCGTCGGGAACGGCGTCGGGTACGGCGTCGGGCTCGGCGTCGGGTACGGCGTCGGGTACGGCGTCGGGTACGGCGTCGGGTACGGCGTCGGGCTCGGGGTCGGGCTCGGGGTCGGAATTCGGCGTTGGGCTCGGCGTCGGGTTTGGTGTCGGGTACGGCGTCGGGTACGGCGTCGGGTACGGCGTCGGGCTCGGGCTCGGGGTCGGGCTCGGGTTCGGCGTTGGGTTCGGCGTCGGGTTTGGTGTCGGGTTCGGCGTCGGGCTCGGCGTCGGGCTCGGGGTCGGGTACGACGTCGGGTACGGCGTCGGGTACGGCGTCGGAGATGGTGTCGAGTCGTCATACACTGCCAAGGAACTCACTTGGTCGTTGCCACACACTCCATGGCAACCGGCGCCCGTGTAACTGCATGGCCAGCCCTCAAAATTTGAGAGCTGGTAGATAACCACGCGACAAGCGTCCGACCAGATGTACATAGATGAATACTCGTCGTTATGACTGCTGCCAACCCAGCTATGCTCACCGACCCCGTATGTGGCAGAGAAGCCCGAGAAATAGCCATGCTGGTACATCGTCACTTAGCAAGCGGCGCCGTTGCTGCTGCTGCTGATGCGGCTCACCCCCCCGCTTCCTCATCGCTCACGGCACTGCCGTTTGGCACGCTCGTCATCCGCTGCATGTCAGAAACGCCACGCAGCCCGAGCAGCACGGGAAGCGAACCCTTGACTGCCTGGGGGCGACGCTGTCACACTGTCTGATAGCGCAAGGTAGTGTAAGAATATGAACCGACCGGAACTCGATCCAAAGTTGACTGGAACAACGACGACGACGACGCCCACGGGCAGGCCTGGAATCCGATGTATGAATCATCGCCCAAGACGCTGCTACGTGACGGGCCCCTCAGGACAGTTCTGTATCGTCATCCTACATTGTGTCTCGAGTTGGGGGGGGGCTCGAATTTGCCTGGCGGGGCCGTCTGAAAAGGATGCGGGGCCTGGTCTGAAGTTTGGCGAGGGCTCCCGCTGCCAACATCTCACGGAGACGGGCCCGTCAAATTCATGACGGGACTTTCAAAACGCAACTGTAAAGCTCTGGCGATCCCCAGGGCGCTACCATGGCCTTCCCCGGGCGCTCCCTGGGCGCTCCCAGGGCGCTCCCAGTGCGCTCCCAGGGCACTACCAGGGAACCCGCAGTGACCTCCCGGATCGCTCACAGAGCCCTCGCAGGGCGCTCCCGGGGCCATCCCAGGGCGCTAAAACAAACCCTCCCAAGGCTGAAGCAAACCCTCCCATGAGGCACAATTAGCCCAACGAAAAAAACAACCCCGTTCTCAAAAAGAGGAAGCTACGAACAGGACAACTCACACAGAAGACTAGTAGGAGGGGCCTGCGATTCCCGATAACGCGTCGCGCTTCGCTTACAACGTCAAACCACGCTCGACGTCCTGCATTCATTCACGCACACGCTCTCACGACACCATGAGAACGCACGCACTGGGGCAATACTGTGAGGGCGTTGGACAAGGAACCCTTGGAGAAGGAATAATCCAGGGCCTGAAAGCCCGTGGAACGCGAATTGAGGCTTGGCCATGGATATCAACGCCGCCCTCATCAGATAAGGAATCCTGCAGGGTTTTGACCCTCCTGGGCACATTCCTTAACCAATGCCCCCCCCGTAATTAGGTGGAGCTCCCTGAGGGGCAGGAAACGGTGAGGGGTGTGCCGAAATGGGCACGGGGACGCTATTTGAAAGCCCCCACTGGGGCCATAGGTGCAGCTCTGTAGGGGGCAGGAAACGTATGAGAGGTGTACGTGTCGAATTGCACGCGGGGACGCCATGCGAACGCACCCATTGGAGCCATGAGTGGAGCTCCCTGGGGGGGCAGGATACACGTGAGGGGTGTGTCGAAATGGGAGCGGGGACGCCATGCGAACGCACTCACCTGAACCATAGGTGGAACTCCCTGGGCGGCATGAGACGCGTGAGGGGTGTGCCGAAATGCGCGCGGGGACGCCATGCAAACGCACCATCTGGGGCCGTGTGTGGCACCTCCCTGGGGGGCAGGAAACGTGAATGCGCGCGGGGACGCCATGCGAACGCACCCACTGGGGCCGTGTGTGGAACCTCCCTGGGGGGCAGGAAACGTGAATGCGCGCGGGGACGCCATGCGAACGTACCCACTGGGGCCATCGGTGGAGCTTCCTGGGGGGCAGGAAACGTGGAAGGGGTGTGCCAGAATGGTCGCGGGGGCGTCATGCGAACGCACCCACTGGGGCCGCAGGTAGAGCTCCCTGGAAGGCACGATCCTTGTGTGGGTGTGCCGACATGGGGGCCATGGGTAGAGCTCTCTGTGGGGCGCCATCCTCGGGAGGGGTGTGCCGAAGTGGGCGCGGAGACGCCATGTTAAAGCACCCACTAGGGCCATACGTGCCGCTCCCTGTGACTGCTGGCATTTCCATAATGGAACACAGTCACAGGTTTTCCGTGGTACTTCTCCTACGTGCCCACAACTAGGCGCCCCCAGGATTTCCAAGGAGGCACCCAGGGTATCCAGAGAACCCCTCACGAGGCCCACAGGGCTACAGAGGCTCCTAAATTGACTGCCTACCAGACCACCCCAACCCAACCCGAAGGCCCGAATTTCGGGTTTGGGGGGGTAAGGGCTCCATCTATGTTTTTTCAATGTTCAACGACCTCCCCCACTGGAAATGGAGGGCGAATTGAGGCCTTCGGGTTGGGTTGGGGTGGTTTGGTGGGTGGAGATACATGGAGCGAAAAGCTGGGAGCATCTGGAGCCTTCTGGCAGAGGGGGGCGCTCCTCTGGCCGCGCCGGCGGCTGCCCCAGCCGCGGCCGCCGGCCTCCCGGCAAGGTCGCCTGCGGCCAGCCCCCGCCGCGGGCGCGCCACGCGCAGCCGCCATGGCGGAATCCTGCCGGCGGCGCCGGAAGCGAGGCGGCGGCCGACTCCAACGGCGGCGGCGAATGGCGGCGTCGGCGGCGGCCTCGACGGCGGCGGTGGCACGGACGTCGCCGTCGCCGCTGTCGTCGTCATCGCCGACTCCGCAGGCGTCCTCGTCGGCGTCGCCGTCGGCGCTGCTGTTGGCGTCGACGCTGCAAGCATCGTCGGCGTCGCAAACGTCGTCGTCGCCGCCGTCGCCACAATCGTCGGCGCAGACATCGGCGCAGCACAGGAAGATGCGAAGTGGAGAAACTTGAGGTGATGTGGTGTGGGTGCTGGGGAACCTTACCGTCGTTTGCACCTCTATGCGCATGCGAACTTCTCCACATCCCCCCTCCGTTGCCCTTCTACTTCTTGTTGCGCACGAACCGATCGTGTATCATGTGATCACGCGTGTACCATATCCTTGTTTGTAAGTACGAGCGTTCAAACGCAGCGATCGCTTCGATCAACGTCGGCGAAGCGCTAGCATGAAAACATATAACAACGATGTGTGGTGAGGACATAAGACCATTGGAGACCGAAGTTGGGACATTGTGGGCGGCGGGCGACGAAAACCCTGGGGACGCAAGGGCACCCGAACCTGGCCCCGTTGTAGAATTGGCGTCGGGGCCCAACGCAAAAACAGCGCAAGGACGAAAGGGTAACCTCAACATCCGCGCGTCCGTTTGGGCATGGCGCCAAATTCAAAGGCACATGCTCGGGTGGGTAACGCGGCGCATGCTGCGGGCGCAAGGACGCGCAAAGGGCCCCTGCCTGATCCGCGCCCTCAGGGCCCCGTCCGACCGCGGACGAGGCGACGGCCGAAGGCAGGGGCGGCGCGCCCAAGGACGACCAAGGGAACCCGGCATGGCCTACGTCCTCAAGGCAACATCCGCCCGCGACGGAGAAAGCGAGCGAAGGCATCAGCGGCGCGCCCAGGGACGGCCAAGGGAGCCCTGCTTGGCCAACGTACTCCATAAGTTTCCCCGGTGCAACGCGCAGCGCACAGGTGGCCCAGCAGCGGGTGGGTAACCCGAAAACGAGTTGAAAAGAACAACTTGTGCCACTTGCACTCTGGACATCAACATGATATGGTGCAATAAAGTTCAATACCTTCCCCCCGTGAAGCGCGCAACGCCAATGTGACCCACTAGCGGGTGGGTCACCCGAAAACTGGCAAAGGAAAGACCGATTGTATCACTTGCGTTCTGGGCTTTAACACGCGTTGGTGCAATCGTGTTCCATGCGTTTCCCCTGTGCTGCGCGCAACGCACAAGTGAACAACCACCCGGTGGATGCGTAAACAACTGGGTGAAAAAAGACACAAGTGTTTCACTTGCGCCGAGGCCTCAACATGAGCTGATGCATTTGATTCCGCGCCCTTCCCCTGAGCAGCGCGGAGCGCCAAAGTACCCCACCAGCGGGTGGGCCACCAGAAGGAACACCGCTTGAGAAAGACTACGCGTTTCGCTGGCATGTTGGGCCTCAACATGATTCGTTGCAATCGTGTTCCATACGTTTACACTGTGTAGAGCTCACAGGTGACACAACAGCGGGTGGGTCACCCGAAAAACTGGCACAACTTGTTGTTCTTGCAACCTGGCCCTCAACAGGAGTTGCAATCGTGCCCCTTACGCTTCCCATGTGTACCGCGCAACGCACACATGACCCACCAACGGGTGGGTCACCAAAAAATCGGCCCCTGCACCTCAACATGAATTGGCGCAACCGTGCTCCCGACACTTCCGTTGCGTAACGCAGAACGCATTGATATTGATGGCCCACCAGCGGGTGGGTCAGCAGAAAGACAGGTGCTTGAGGAAAAAAACATTGTGCCACTGGCATTCTGGGCCTCAACGTGACTTGGCGCAAACGTGTTCCATACGCTTCCGCTGTGTAACGCGGAACGCACACGTCACCCACCAACGGGTGGGTTACCCGAGAATTGGTTGAGAATTGGTTGAGAAAGGCTAATTGCTCCGCTTGCATCCTGCAGTTCAGCATGAGCTGGTGCAGTCGTGCTCCATAAGTTTACGCTGTGGAGCGCACAACGCAAAGGTGACCCACCAGCGGACGGGTCACAAGAAAACCACTTGAGTAAAAAATATTGTGTCACTGGCATTATGGGCATCAACATGAGCTGGCGCATTCGTACTCCTTTGCTTCCCCTGTGTAGTGCACAGCGCAAAAGTGACCCACCAGTGGGTGGGGCACCCGAAGACTGGCTAAGAAAAGCCAATTGTGTCCTGTGCGTTCCAAGCCTCAACCTGAATTGGTGCAGTCGTACTGCATTCGTTTCCCATGTGCAGCGCGCAACGCACAGGTGACCCACGTCCTCAAGGCAACGTCCGCCCGCGAAGGAAGACAGCGACCGAAGGAAGAGGCGGCGCGCCCGAGGACGGCCAAGGAAACCCTGGTTGGCCAAAGTCTTTAGGGCTACGCCCGCCCGCAAATCGAGCAACGGGCGAGGACACGGGCGACGCACCAAACGACGGCCAAGGGTACCCCTGATAGCCCACGTCTTTGGAACTGCCGCCAAGAGGAGCGCCCCGCCACCAAGCAGAGGGACGGCGCCCGCCCCCTAGGGCACCATGAGAGGCTGCTGGCCAGTGGAAGCGGCAAACGACAGGCCGCAGGGGCAAGGACACAAAGGTACCCTGGAAACGGCGCGCGTCCGTACTATGCGCGTTGGCTGTAAAAGGGGGAAACAGGAAGACCTCCCCCCTCCACAGGGTGAACTTCAGGGGGGACCAGCTCAGGGGGGGGGGGGGAGGGGCACATCGAGCTGGAAACGGCGGTACATCGCGGATAGATCGGGGGGGGGGGTAGACCCCGGTTAACGACACCCTGCTCCTCCTCCTTCTCCTCCTCCTCCTTCTGGATCCTCCTCGGTCCTCCTCCTCATCCGCGGTCCTCCTCCTTCTCCTCATCGATCATCGATCCTGGATCCTCGATCCTCCTCCTCCTCGATCCTCCATCCTCGACCATCGATCCTCCTCCTCCTCCTGATCTTCCTCCTCCTTCACCTCTTCCTCCGCTTCCTCCTCTTCCTCGTCCTCCTCATCGATCCCGTTTCCTTATTCCGCACCATCGACTGCGTGCACTTAGGAATGTTTCCTTCGTCCAAAATTGGATTAGGGTTCTCTCTGGGCGCCCCACGCAGTCCTGATCTCACCCCCTCCTCTCACACGTTCAGACCACAGCCATAATCACCATCACCATCACCATCACCATCATCATCACCATCACCATCACCCTCACCCTCACCATCACCATCACCATCACCATCACCATCACCATCATCATCATCATCATCATCATCATCATCAGCATCGTCACCATCACCAACATTATCATCATCAGCAGCATCATCAGCATCAGCATGAGCATCAGCATCAGCATCGTCATCATCAGCCTCAGCATCATCACCATCATCGACATGATCGTCAGTAGTACCAACATGATGATGATGAGCATCAGCAGCAACAGCATCGACATCATCATCAACATCATCATCATCATCATCATCAATACCATCATGATAAGTATCATCATCCTCATCCGTATCGACATCCGCAGCATCATCATCATTATCACAATCACCACCACCATCACCATCAGCATCAATAATCAATCAATGATCGATCACGGACCATCGACAATCGACCTTCGATCATCACCAATATCATCATCATCAGCATCATCATCATCATCGTAATCATCATCAGCGTCATCATCATCACCAGTATCCTCATCATTACCAGCAGCATCATCAGATTCTTCATCATCAGCAGCATCATCAACATAATTGTCATCATCATCAACATTAGCATCGTCGCAATCATCATCAGCATCACCATCATGATAAACATGAGCATGCGTGTAATCATGAGCATGAACATCATCCTCATGCTCGTTGTCATCATCATATTCACCATCACCACCAACATCATCATCATCAGCATCATCAGCATCATCATCATCAACCTCATCATGTTGATCATCATCATCATCATCATCATGATCATGATGATGATGATCATCATCATCATTATCATCATCATCATCGCCGTCATCATCATCATCATCATCATCATCATCATCATCATCATCACCATCATTGGCATCATCATCACCATCATTGGCATCATCATCAGCATCCGCCGTGAACACCGACCGTTATCATCATAAGCACCTTCATCACACACAGTCACACACTCACTCACACAGTCACCTTGAGCAAGTCTCGAGCGGGAGCCTCGTCTGCGAGTGAATCGTGAGGTAGTCTCGAACGGGAGCCCCCTCCCTATCGGGCCCGCACTTCATGTTACCAATCCGAGGCGGCCATGGGGATACCTGTTGAAAACACAGGGTCCGTCACACTTGGTAACCTGAATGTCCAGGATGTCTCGCGCGGGAGCCCCCGACCTACCGAGGCGGCCATCGGGATACATGTAAAAGAACACAATGTTTCTCACACTTGGCAACCTGAATCTCGAGGAAGTCTCGAATGGGGCCCATACTTCATGTTACGTACCAATCCGATGCGCTATCGGGGTACCTGTAAGAGCACAGGTTTTCTCACACTTGGCAACCTGAATCTCGACGAAGTCTCGAGCGGAACACCCACAGGCCCCGCGGATCCCACAGGTCCCACAGGTCCCACAGGGCCCAAAGGTCCCAGACAGGTCGTACAAGTCCCACAGGTTTCACAAGTTTCACAAGTCTGACGGGCTCCCCTTGGTCCCACACAGGTCGCACAGATCTCACAAGTCCCACAAGTCCCGCAGGTGCCAAAGGCCCCACAGGTCCCGCAGGCCCCACAGCAGGCACCGCAGGTCCCACAGGTCCCACAAGTCCTACAGGGTTCGCAAGTCCCGCAGGTCCCACAGGCCCAACAGGTACAACAACAAAAAAAGCTGGCCGCACAAGCCCCACAGGCCCAACAGCTCTCACAGGTTCCACAAGCCCCACATGTCCCACAAGTTC